AAAATTTTGTTATCGGATGGATGATAGAACTCATACCCTCTAGTTTCCTTGGGGTATCCCACAAAAATTACTTTATCAGATTTAGGCTCCAACTTACTAGACGTCATGAGACGTTTTACATAAGCTTCACAACCCCAAATCTTAAAGTACGAGAAACTCGGTTTTCTCCCACGCCATAGTTCGTATGGTGTGCTCTCGACAGCTTTAAATGGAACTCTGTTGAGTGTGTGTGCTGCTATTTTCAATGCATATCCCCAAAATGATTGTGGCAATGTTGTCAAACTAATCATGCTTTGGACCATGTCTTGCAAAGTCCGATTTCTCCTCTCAGACACTCCATTTAACTAAGGTCTCCCTGGAGGAGTGAGTTGGGATAAGATCCCATGCTCTTTTAGATAGTCATCGAACTCCAGGCTTAAGTATTCACCTCCTCGATCCGAGCGGAGGGTCTTAATACTTTTGCCTAATTGTTTTTCTACTTCGTTCTTGAATTCTTTGAATTTGTCAAAGCATTCCAATTTGTGTTTCATGAGATACACATATCCATATCTACTAAGGTCGTTAGTAAATGTAATGAAGTAAGAATAACCACCTCTAGCTACAGTGCTAATTGGACCACACACATCGGAGTGTATGAGGCCCAATAAGTCACTCGCCCTTTCACCGTGATCGGTGAATGGAGCCTTTGTCATTTTACCAAGTAAACAAGACTTACATACATCATATGACTGGAAGTCAAATGAATCAAGTACACTTGAGCGATGTAACTTAGATATGCGTTTCTCGTTAATGTGGCCCAAACGACAATGCCATAGGTACGCGAGATTCAAACTGGTAGGTTTGTTTCTCTTAACATCCATGTTATATACTGCGGTATCCATGTCGAGGACATAGAGACCGTTGGTCATTTTTGCAGTTGCATAAAATATTTCATTTCTAAAGACAGAAAGAGTTTTGTCTTTTACAACGAACGAAAATCCTGCTTTGTCAAGGCAGGATACAGAAATGATGTTTCTGCTCATGCTAGGTACAAACAGACAATTATTTAATTGCAATACAAGACCACTAGGTAGAGATAAACTATAGGTTCCGACGGCTAATGCATTTACGAGTGCGACATTGCCGACTTTTAGTTGTATCTCTCCCTCCGTCAATTGTCTACGTTCATGCAGATCCTGCATAGAAGTACAGATGTGAGAACCACATCCAGTATCCATCACCCAAGAGGTGATATCAGACATATTGACTTCAATAACGAAGATACCTGAGGTTTGAGGTTTCTTTCCCTCTTTCCTCTCTGCCAGTTATTTTGCGCAGTTGCGCCTCCAGTGGCCCTTTTTGCCACAATAATAGCATACAGCAGACTTCTTCTTAGCTCTTTCTTTGGGTTTCAACGAAGAGGAGTTGGACGCTGGCCTGGGTTTCTTAGAACCCTTGCGTTTGGTCCCGGCCGGCGAACGTGGCCCACTCTTCTTCGCAACAGTACTGCCCTCTACCATCAGGATAGACTTACCCTTTCCCTTTCCTAGACTCTCCTCAGCAGTTGTGAGGAATTTCAGTAGCTCAGGCATAGTCATCTCTAGTTTGTTCATGTAGAAGTTCATTACAGTTTGACTATACTCAGCTGGTAATGATCCGAAGATGAGATCAGTTGCCAGCATAGGGTGCAACAGGGCGTCCAAATTTTCAAGAGTTTCGATCTAGCCGATCATCTTGAGAACGTGGGGACCAACTGGGTTACCCATTGCCAGCTTACTGGAAAACAGAGTCGTAGAGATTTTGAAACGCTCATGTCTAGCCTGGCCTTGGTATAGACCTTTCAAGCGAGTCATCATAGGATGAGCTTCCATGTCCTTGTGGAGCCTTTGGAGCTCCGGGGTTATGGTGGCTAGCATGAGACATCTCACATCACGTGCGTCACCTTCATAGTTCCGGTACGAAGTAATTTCTGCAGCACGGGCGTTCGCTTCAGGAGCTTTGGGAGGCTCAGATGTTAGGACGTAAAGCTTTTTCTCGCATTCGAGAACAATCTTAAGATTCATCTCCCAATCAAGAAAGTTAGTTCCAGATAATTTTTCCTTTTCTAGAACATATCGCAGGTTGAAAGGGCTGTTGTTGTTTGCCATCTACAGAAAATTTTGCAAAATAGGTTATCTATCATGTTTAATAATTAATTAGGCCTTTAATTAATTATCTCCCACTATTTTTAACAAATCAATAACCCTCAATATTGATTCGGAGATTTCTGGCGAAACCTCTAGTGGGCCAAGATCCATATTTCATTATCTTGCGTTCCGCTTGGGCGTTACTCCACAAGACAACTATTTAGGTAGGAACATAGTTCCAACTCATGAGCTGGGCTCTCAGATTTTGGTCTGGTGTTGGGCGAACAATATTACTACAACCGGACCAGGACACCTTTTCACCATACTTGTAATTGGCTGAGGCACGTCTTACAAGCAGACTACTTTGGTTAGGAACAGAGTTCCAATTAAATCATAAAGATCCAACTCCTGGCTGGATGAGTGAGTAAAATCATCCGACTTGTCCTTGATGACCCCAACTTACTGCCTCTGAGTCATCCATCCATTTGAACGAGACTCATTTAAGTCTAACCCAACGTGCGACAGCGACCACGCTATGGCGGTTCCCGTAACCGGCTTAACATACACCGTACTATGCTCTGCTGAGGCTGAGTACATGACAGTGCACATTAGCCGGATAGGTGCCGGGCGTCAGAAGGCAACAGACTTAATATTCGTGAGGGATTTATAATTTCGATCTCACCTATTGACATGGCCGCGCACATGTCCATTACTAGTGTTCAACATACATTCAACATGCATTCACAAAACACAGTAAATAAACGTGTAATGATTGTGGCCCCTAAAAGAAAAATAAAACGATAGCTCCCACTGGCTCCCGGGCACTTGGACTTTGGGCTATCTCCATTCTTTTAGATTTCTCCAAATGGTCTTCAAATCTTTTCGTCTTCAAACCACCACGTGAGAAAAGAATCCTCGGTTGAGGTAAGATAGAGAAATAGATTTACAACAAGAGTTTAAGAGATAAGGCACGACATGCAGGCCGTATTATAATCAAATAAACTATAGCCACAATCATCCACCATGCATATCATACATCCACACAAGCAATAGAGATATACATACACCGGGTGAACCGCGCTCACCCCAGACAGTTCTAGAAAAATACTACGGCAGTAAATATTTTCTAAAACTCATAAAAATAAATTAGATGTCCAAATAAATCTAATAAAATTTTATAAAATCATTTTATATACTCTGGATATTCTGCCAGCATAAAAAAATCCAGAATATTCCAAATGACCAAAATGCCCTTTTTGCAAAATTATTTTCGAAAAGGCAATTTAATTCCGAAAAATTTTGCAAAAATCATGAAAATTAAATTTCAACTTCCAGTAATTATTTTCAAAATTTATAAACCTGGAAATAAAATTTCCAAAATTTATAAATCATTATTTCCAAAATATATTAGTTAAATCTCAATAAGTTATAAAAAGCCATTTAAATTATTTTCGAAAACATTAAATTACAAAAATTTAATATTTTGAAAAAAATTATTTTTCTTACTGAGATATAACTTTCCAATATATATATTAGTCATTTATGTAATTAAAATACAAATATATAAATATATATAATATTTCGGTAATAATACCGAGTACATATATAAATATATATTTATTTAATTACTAACTAATATTATTTTGTACACTATATTTATCAACAACCTTATTTAACTTAGAAATAATATTTCTAAGCTTAATAAAGTTCCTTTTGAATTTTCACATATTTATTTTCGGTTTTTACTAAATAAATACAATAAATTCAAAATAGGAAATAATACATTTAAAAATTACAATATAATTTTATCAATCAAAAAATGATGTTTTATGTCCAAATGAAATTATATTTACTATTTCTACAATATATATAAATATATATTTCGAAAAATCAATATATATATATATATTTATATATATATTACGGGTAGAAATAAAAATGAATAAATTTAAAATTCATTTCAATGATTTATTTAAGTCCAATATTTATTCCAAGACTAAATAAAATCATTTTACCAATTTTTGAATTTTTTTTTTTGAATGCTATTGACTCTATTATAAGGTAGTATCTGTTCATACTATTTTCAAGCTAATGACGCACAAAGAGCCAATGCTGCTGCCTTCGCTGGGGCTCGAACCTGGGTGAACTTCCCCATGAATCCTGGGGAGTGGGCTTGCTACCACTCAAGCCAGGGGAGAAGTTCCCAATTTTTGAATTTTAATAATTACCGTGTTAAAACTTTGACGTTTAAAATTTTAAAAGTCAAACTTAAAACTATAGTTTTGTACGTTGGCTCTGATACCACTGAAAGGTAACCATGCAAGGATAGGCAGCGGAATATAAAAATTTTAACATCCTAACATGATTATCTTGCCTAGAATCACGTACTAAAACATATAGTAGTAAGAAATTTTTACCTTTCTCCGTAAGCGGTAAAAACGAAGAAGTCGTAGGAACAGCGTTGAAAGTGCAAACGTAACCGTTCAAGCGTCTGGCCTCCAACTTTGACACACGAACAACGCCGGAGTCTACCACAATCTTTATGCTAGTAAAGATTATAGTAGTATAAAATATAAAGATTAAAATTTGGGATAATAATAATCTTGTATATTTCTATAGAAAATATTTCTAATAATATTTAGAAAATATTATAGATATTTTCTATACACAAATGATATTAATGAACACAATAATATATTTTCTCTCACTAAAGTGTAATGCCCGAAACTCAAAAGCAAATTGGATGATTTTTTTCTCCACTTGTTTTAATGGTGCGTGAGGTGCATATATAGAAAACAAAGATTAATTTTTGTTATTAGCTAAATGACAAATCAATTAACTCCACTAAGTAATCAAAGAATGAAATTTTATTCTTCACAATCTCATCATGGCCGAATGAATGATATGAGAAGGATTTTCAAAATTCTTCTCCACTTAAATGTTCAAAGTGTATTTTATTTGACACCAAAAATTAATATAAAAATTAATTTTGAATCAAATAAAAATACCAATATCATTTTTAAACAAGTATAAACTATACTTCAAATAGTTTATGTCAAAATAGTTATTTTCATAATTAAAATGACAAACCAAAATAAAATATTCAACATATAATATATATACATTAATCGGTACATATATATAATATATATAACCGAATATTTATATATATAATATTATATTCCAAAATATTTTACTTTACTATTTTTTTTACAAATATACAAATTACTTATTATCCCATTGTTTAATCCTACTCCTTAAATTGTTCAAAGTGTGTGACCCGTATAGGCACTTATAAAGCTGGCCACAGTATTGGCTCTGCACCAACACTATAAGCAATAAGCGGTATCTAGCAACACATTATTGCCCCCAGATTATAAGTTAAGACGTTTGCACCGTCAAAACCTTTCCACGACTCAGACTCCGTGTAACTGTATCCCTTTGTCTCAATGTCTAGACTTAATGCAAGGGATTAATAAAATCCAGCTTGTATCCATTAAGTCATTCACTGATTTATCAAGTCTGATTAATAGGAACAGACGTCATAAAAGCATCTCAGCATGGCCATGCAATTTCCTTAGTCATAACTTATCAGTGGGCCCCATAAGACATTAATCTCTTTAAAAAATAGTGACAAATCCTATGTACGTAATCTATGTTTCTGAATACGCGCTGCGGCATACCCAAAACAAAGCCTGTATACCACCCTTATTTCATATGGCTTAGGACAATGCATCAAAGCATGTGGGTTCACATATGCGGAAAACGTAATACTTCAAGTTGAAGGATAGTTACACCCGTGGTCGCGCTAAAGATGCTTAGAGCATGAACTAAAAGTTCAAGCAACATCTTTAAGATGGGTCAGTCTGGCATCCTATTATCTCTAGATAATATCTGCCCATGTGCGGATGCGAACACACCATCATTGACTATGAGACTAAGTCAAACATCCAACACACACTAGTCTCACATGCATTAACGATATCCCACTCTCGTTAATACTCGACTATGGACATTTAGATAAATACTTATTTCAAGATGTTAGTCTCATCAGCAGAATAACACTATCCGATAAACATCTTTTAAATATAAATCTAGGAATATAATATTTGTTTACATTAGCATGAGATGTGTAAACATATTATATCTACCTATACATGATAGAATAACGATAAACAGTTGGCCATCAGGGCACAACTCCAACAGAAAGAGGGATTTAAATGGACTAAGGAAGCTCAACAGGCCTTCTTCCGTCTTAAGGAGGCAATGACTACTCCACCTGTTCTTCAGTTACCAGACTGGACTCGCCCGTTTATTATTGAATGTGATGCTAGCGGTGGAGGTTTGGGAGCCATATTAATCCAAGAAAATAGACCTATCGCTTACTATAGTGAAGCTTTAAAAGGAAAGGCTTGCCACCTATCGACATACGAAAAGGAGATGTTAGCAATTGTTAAAGCTGTCAAAAAGTGGAGGCCTTATCTACTGGGTAAACCATTCATTGTTCGAACTGATCACAAGGCACTAAAGCACCTGCTGGAGCAACGAATTACCACCCCAGCCCAAACCAAATGGTTACCCAAGCTTCTTGGTTACGACTATCGTATTGAGTATAAGGTTGGTGCAGAGAATAGAGGCGCAGATGCACTGGCTAGGATGGTGGAAATCAACTTTATGGCAGTTTCATGTACAAAAATGGGTTGGTGGAAAAAGGTACAGGAAGAAATTTCAACAGACCCTTTCTTTCAATCTTTCACTGATTCGAAGGATCCTAGGCTCATTCAATGTGATGGCATATGGTTTCGAGGTGATCAAGTATTTTTGAGCCCATCATCATCCGTAATTCCAAAGATCTTTCATGATTGTCATTCGGCACCCGTACGTGGCCATTTCGGTTACCAGAAGACGCTTGCAAGAATTAAAAGGGATTTTTATTGGATTGGTATGAGGAAGATGATCAGGGACTATATTCAAGAACGCTCTATATGCCAAAGGTTCAAGGCTGATACCCTAAAACCTGCTGGATTACTACAGCCCCTTGCTATTCCAACCCAGATTTGGACTGATATCTCCATGGATTTTGTGGAAGGTCTTCCGGTTTTAGGTGGCTATTCTACCATTTTCGTGGTGGTCGATCGGCTCTCGAAGTACGCCCATTTCATTGCCCTCCGTCACCCGTTTACCGCTGCCTCTGTTGCTAAGGCTTTCGTCATCAATGTAGTTCGAGTACATGGTATTCCGTCTTCAATCGTTAGTGACCGGGACAAGATTTTTATGAGTACCTTCTGGCAAACTTTGTTCAAGTTGCAAGGAACCACGTTGAGCATGAGTTCGAGCTACCATCCCCAAACGGATGGACAAACTGAGGTGGTAAATCGCACCCTTGAACAATACTTACGGTGTTTTGCCAGTGATCGCCCTAAGTCTTGGATCGAATGGTTGCCTTGGGCCGAGTATAGTTATAATACCTCTATCCATTCATCTACCAAGCTGTCTCTGTTCGAGGCTGTTTATGGGATCCCACCACCCCGCCTTGTTCCATATTAGCGAGGTACAACCAAAGTCAAAGCCGTGGATGCCGAATTACGAGAGCGCGCAGCACTCTTACAAGATCTAAGGAAGAATCTCCTTCAAGCTCAAAATACTATGAAAACCAATGTAGATCAGCACCGTCGAGAGATTACCTTCCAGGTCGGGGACTATGTTTATCTCAAACTTCAGCCATATAGGCAGGCTACGATGGAAAAGAGGCAGTCCAACAAGCTTGCCCCCAGGTTTTACGGACCCTTTCAAGTTCTAAGATGCATTGGACCAGTTGCTTATGAGTTGGAGTTACCAGAGGGCTCCCAAATTCATAATGTGTTTCATGTAAGCAAGCTCAAACTTCATTGGGGAGAACTCTTTTCACCACCCGTGCCTCCCCCTACGGCCACAGAGCTGAAGGATACTGACCCGCAACCGGAGAAAATCTTGGACCATCGCGTCGTTCAAAGAGGGAAGTACCAACCTCTTCATGATATCTTGGTTAAATGGGTTGATGGTGCAGTCGAAGATGCTACTTGGGAACAAGAACGACGATTCTGCAGATCCCACCCTTCTTTTTCACCTTGCGGACAAGGTTTTTGAGGGGTGGGGAATGATGTGTGCGTGGGAACGTAGGGGCACTCATTGCATACATGGGGGAATGATTATTGTTTTAATTGTTGTTGTTACATTGTGTTAGTACGAACATTTCTTTTGTAGTTTGACTTTTTCTAGTGTTGTTGCACAAATAGTACTGGAGTCAAGAAGTGCACAAGTAGTGGAGTCAAGAAGTTGGCAACTGCCTGCATGATTTTAGGTCATTATTGTTAGAAGTCTGCATATTTAAGGAGTGTGTTGTTCCTTGTTTTAATCAATGAAATATATCAGAAAATTGCCCCATCTTTCTCTCTCGGTTCTTTCCTTCCCTCTTTATTTTTTGACTTGATATTGATATCTATCAAGGACTTAACGCCAACCCATAGTTTTTAGCTCCCCATGCCGGACAGCGCTGTTGGTTACTCCAACATCGCTGTTGGGCTGGTTTAGCCAGACCCATGGTTGGTTTAGTCATGCCGTTAGCCGATGTCAAAAATCTAAGTTCTCCAAAGAAAAAACCAAATATTGAAAACATTTGTTTGATTCATTTTGCTAATAAATCAAGTAAAACATATTGAAAACCACGTCATTTAGATAAAAACCACGGCTAGCCACGTTTACGCCGTTTTGCATGGTTTTTACTAAACGACCAAAAACAAAGGGTGGTTTTTGAAGCGTTTTTGTTGGAAAACTATTTAAATATGCCCAAAAGTGAAAACCAATCATAAAATGTCGAAAAACAATTGGTTGGTTTGGATGCCAAAAACCAACACCGATAACCGAATGCCGAACGCCGGTTTCTGAAAACCGAACGCCGAATGGCTTGGTTTTTGGTTTGGGCGATCACTAAGTGTATTAGGCTTGTTTAAAACTTATGAAAAACATTTTTGAATATTCAAAAGAATATTTTTATGAAGTGAGCTTAGAGAGCCAAGTTTTGGAAGTTCGTGCCGGTCTTGATCACATTAAGACCGACTCCATAAAATCTAAGTCTTCGTTCTTGGTTCTTGGTTCTTAATTCATCATGCCATGTTCCTTCACCTTTGATTTGCTCAGCTTAATCTTGTTATCATGGTGGTTTGGCATTATTAAAACCTGTCATAAAACGAACACGGTTTAGTACGACATAGGTGTAAACCCGTGTTCCAACAATTTCCCCCTTTTTGATAATGGCAAACAAGACGGGGATATGCATACTAAGGGATATTTGATTTTCAAAAAAGGTGTGAAAAAGTTCCCCCTTAATTTTTGCTTAAAAGCAAGTAGTCATATTCAAATCAAACGATCCCGTTTTTAGAGACGTTCCCCCTTAGTATATGCATAGCTCTTTTCTTCCCCCTTTTGACAATAACAAAAAGATAAAAGATAACTTTTATTTATTGAAATGGGAAATAGTGGAGTACAACGGAAGCAAGTAATTAAAAAACATGACAATAAAGAAAGAGATAGAAATTCTAGGGGCGGCGTAGTCTTCGTCATCGACGTCCATCTGATCACCGTCAATGACGTCGTCGAACTCATCCTCGTCCGGGGAGCTTGACGAGGTGTAGGAGCCATCTTCTTCGTCCTCGTCACCATACACTTGCCCAAGGAGCGTGCCTTCGTACGGTGGGGGACGTAGTTGATGCGTTGAAAGTACGCGTTCATGGCGTGCCCTTGGCATTGAACAGCCTCGTCGAGCCGTTCAAGGTACCCGTCCATCCCTTCAACTTTGAGGTGCAGCCGGTTGAGGGAGTCGGCGATGGAGGCAAGATTGGCCTGGGCCTGGGGTTCGGCTGGGCCAACGGCAGGACGGCGGTGCGCGGCAATGGAGGCGCGGCGTTGTCCGACCGCTTAGTGAAGGTTTGGGCGCTTATCGTCCAAAGCTTCGTGGCCTTGGTGAGGGACCAACGGTGGTGGTAACCTTGAATCGTTCAAGGATGTCCATCACCAAGAATGGGTACGGGAGGAGGTGATCGTGGTCGGTAGACGCGGCGATCGTCATGTAGATCATGGCAAACTTCGCCCAATTGATTGGCACCGAGTGCATGATCGCATGGAGGAGCTTGAGATCCTCGCCGGGCATTATTGTGTGCCCGTACTTTCGGGGCTTGATGATCTGGGACACGATGTAAAGGAGGAGACGGCTATCGGGGACGCGGAGTTGATGGTGAGGTGGCCCATGGGATGGCGGATGAGCTTGGTGATGCCAAGCTCGTTGAGGACAAGGCCCTCGTTGTTGAGCACCCAGTCTTCTCCGCCATAGTTGGAGATGCGGTCGCCTTGGTAGGGGATCGGAGGCTGACGATGCGCCCAAGCTTCTCAACGGTGAGCTCGATTGGCGTGTTCTTGACAAGGGAGTAGAGCACGTCGTCCTCACGCTGGAGGTTGGAGTAGAAGACCCGAATCAGCGCCGGGTTGATCTCCTTCCGATCCCGGGAGACGAACGGCCATAGGCCAGTTTTGTGAAGCTGTGCGTCGAGGTCGTCGTAGCCTTGCAGCTCCGGTAGGCGTTCCGGGACAATCCGCGGGGGAGCCACAACCCGTTTAGAGAAGAAGGTGAAAAAACGGGTGCACTCCTCCTCAGAATCGAACTAGAGGTACGACCCGTCGCCATAGTAGAGGCGTTCCTCGGAGGTTTTCGTAGGAGCCCGGGATTTAGACTTAGATTTCCCGGAGGTAGCAGCCCTGCTCTTATATTTGCCCATGATGATGAAGAATTTCAAGAAAAAGTTGAAATAAGCAAGGGGAATGAAGAAGATTGTGTTTAGATGTGAGAAAAAGGTGAGTATGAGGCCAAATGTATAGAGGATTAGGTTTCTAACGTTCAAAATTTTAAAAAAATATGGCAGTTAGAGCATTTAATTCAGTGCCCAATGGGTTTTTTTTTTGAAAAAATCAGTTTGAACAGCGATTTTCCAAAGGCGACATCGCTGTTGGGACAGTGCTGTTGTGCCTTTGTACAGCGCTGTTCTGCGTCAAGTTTTAAAACCAGGTGTGAAATGGACAGCGATGTTGGGTTCCCTACATTGATGTTCCAAAACTTTCTGGAAATGTGTAAGGGTTTGAACCCATTAGAACAGCGTTGTTGGGTTTCCCTACATCGCTATTTTACAATAGGGAAAAAAATTTGTAAAAATGGACAGCGATGTTGCAATGGTGGACATCGCTGTTGAAAAACTTTCTGGTTTTGCTTGAAAACATGGTGTTTGGGAAACATCGATGTTAAAAAGTGTACAGCGCTGTTGGAAAAGATTCTGGAAAGCATAAACGAAGAGATCTCCCTATGACAGCGCTGTTTGTGTATTGTACAGCGCTGTTGGCCCAAGTTGGTTGACGAGGTTCCCTTCTACAGCGTTGTTGGTCTCCTAGACAGCGCTGTTTGCATGGTTCCCCCAGATTTTATGAACGGGGTACCTGCAAAAAAGAAAAAGTTCTCCGACGCTCAAGTTAGTGAACGTTTAACAAGTGAAAATGCACAACTTAGATCATCGTGGAGTCAAGGATTCCGAGTTCACTTCGAATGCGGAAGAACGACTCTTTCTCTAAAGGTTTTGTGAAAATGTCGGCTAATTGGTTGTGTGTTTCAATGAACTCAATTTCGACATCACCTTTGAGAACATGATCTCTAATGAAATGATGCCTAATGTCAATTTGTTTCGTCCTTGAATGAAGAACGAGGTTCTTTTTCAAGCTTATGGCGCTAGTATTATCACAACGAAGAGGAACGTGATTGATACTAAGGCCATAGTCCACGAGTTGTTGCTTCATCCAAAGTATTTGAGCACAACAACTACCGGCGGCTATGTATTCCGCTTCGGTTGTGGATAACACAACACTGACTTGTTTCTTACTAAACCATGAGACTAGAGAACTACAAAGTAAGTGGCAAGTCCCACTCGTACTTTTGCGGTCCAATTTGCAACCGGCAAAGTCCGAGTCAGAATAACCAACGAGATGACACGAAGAGCCTTTTGGATACCAAAGTCCAACATTAACCGTGCCGATAAGGTATCTCATGATCCGTTTCACCGCCGTTAAGTGCGATTCCTTTGGACACGATTGATACCTTGCGCAAAGGCATACGCTAAACATGATATCCGGCCCACTAGCGGTAAGATAGAGAAGGGATCCGATCATACCTCGATACCTTTTGACTTCTACTTCCTTACCTTTCTCGTCTTTGTCAAGATGGTCAGACGTGCTCACCGGGGTCGCCACGGCTTTGGCGTTGTCCATTTCGAACCATTTTAAGAGCTCCTTGCAATATTTAGCTTGGCAAATGAATGTGTCATCTTTCATTTGCTTGACTTCGAGTCCCAAAAAGAACGTGAGCTCACCCATCATTGACATTTCGAACTCGCTTGTCATTAACTTTGAGAATTCCTTGCACAAAGACTCGTTAGTAGCACCGCATATATTATCGTCTACATAAACTTGAACCAAAAGGATGTTATTGTTTTTACTCTTGATAAAAAGTGTAGTGTCAACCTTTCCCTTTTGGAAACCACTATCCAAAAGAAATTTAC